CATTTGGTCACAGATATCATTTATTATTCTCGCCAGAACTATATTCCAGGTGAGAAAATATCTACTTTTTTAAAACCATGTCGACATGCGTCTAGGGCCATCCTTCTGTTCAGAGATGTGTCCTTTTCCTAGCCTTCCACATTTCTGGCTTCCAGCCCAATCTCTGTCCTTTAGCGACACCTGCCCATTTGTCATATAATCAGTGTACCACCTTCAACAAAGAGGTGTCCAGCTAAGGTGGGAGTGGCCATGCAGTCACTGAGGCAGCAGCAGTGTGACAGAAAAAGAGCAAGGTTTGTCAGCATGGTAGATCCGTGGAAAACAGTTCTAAAGCAACCACAGGGGTTTGTAGTAGGGCTAATTATTGGCAGATTGCAGAGTTAACTTTGTTGTAAACCCAACTAAAGGCTTCATTATGAGAACATGTGTGGGCAACATCACAGATACGGTCATCTTATGTCTAACACTTTTTAAAAAATATTTGTACTGTTTTGGAGGTCACAAATCTACAGAAAATGCAAAAGCTTGCATGGAACTGGTCCTGTGGAAGGTAAAAGAAGACCTGAGAGGAAAGAAGTAGTCACTTTGCTCAAGAACTTGGCTGTACCGGTGACCCCTCTGGCTCCCACTGCTGGCAGTGGAGTTCAGTCTGGGGTTTTTTGAGGAGGCGGACGAAAAGAACTGTGGAGGTTTATTTATTACATTTTAAAGGTTATATTTCCACAGTGATTTCTCAAGTTGGGTCTGCGGGCAGAGGGAGGGGGTGATGAGGAATTAAGTTCGGGTGAATTTCAACTCCTCTCTGTAAGTAATGTGCTTCCTTTTGTGAATAACAGTGGGAAGCAGTTTGGATTTGAAGCAGTGAGTCTAATACTTTCTGCAAAGGTTGTTTCTCTCTTTATACTTAAAACTATCCTACTGCTTGGAGTTAAAAACATCTTTACCTGGAGAAATTGGAACCACTTCCTTTAGATCTCCTGTACATAAAGAGAAGTAGAGGTGTTTTTTTTTTTTTTTTCCTTTCTCACGAAATATATGAAAGTAAATGTAAACTTTTCACTCTGTTGACATAAAGGTTTCGGTCATTTGTCTATTGAGCAGTTGTGTGTTTTTCTTCCAACTGATGTACTGTCACTTGATTTTAATTCCTATCAACTCCCTGATTATTTGAAGGCAGTGCTGTGTGGATGGTTGAAGGGTACTGAGTTCTAATCTGTACCTCCAAACTCTGAACTGTCTAATCTCTGTGAGGGGTTAGTTCCTTCATTCTCAATTGCATTTTGGGAACATGGAAACTAGCCTGTCAGAACTACGTGACTTTATTCAGTTTGACCATTTACTTCTGATAAAAGTCCATGAATGTTCAATATAAATGGTGGTAACATGCTATCCAATCACAACATTTTCTTTTTTTCTTTTTTTGTTTAGAGACAGAGTCTCACTTTATTGCCCTCGGTAGAGTGCTATGGCATCACAGCTCACAGCAACCTCCAACTCCTGGGCTTAGGTGATTCTCTTGCCTCAGCCTCCTGAGTAGTGGGGACTACAGGCATCTGCCACAACACCGGGCTATTTTTTATTGCAGTTTGGTTGTGGCCAGTTCGAACCCACCACCCTTGGTATATGGGGCTGGCACCCTATCCACTGACCCACAGGCACTGCCCACCACAAAAGTTTCTTTTCTAGTTGGGTAGATGATTCACAGAGGAATGAGTAGTATGGCTCTGTGGCAGAAGTGAATTAGTTGCCTTCTGGAATCCAACAAGGTCAGGGGCATTCCCAGTAGTACGGCACTATAGACACATTACTTCCCGCTGACAATAGACTGTGATGGTATACCCTCAATAACTATTACTCATGTGCGCCACTTTGGTATTTTGGGTTTACAATTAAATCTCAATTGTCACTTATTACTTTTTCTTGCTACTCCTTAGTCTTCTCTTATATACTTGATGTAAAATAACTTCATCATGGTATATTATTTTAAATGATACATAATCAGGAAGGTCTATTGTAAGAGGGGAAAAATGCTTTTATGCATTCAAAGCTGTAAGCTCAATTCAAAGACATTATCTAAATATTCAGATCATCCTTGTTCTTGTTCAGTCCCATATATGTACAAACCAAGAGTTGACGAGATTATGTGATATTTGATACTGTGAAATAGCTAAATCAAGCTACTTATATATGCATTACCTCATGTACTTATTTTTGTGGCGCAAATGCTTGAAAACTGGTAAGAGAATAGACTTTAAGTGTATAATATGTTGTTATCAACTGCAGTTGCCATGATATACAGAAGAGCTCTCTCCTGAGCTTATTCCCCACGTCTGACATTTTCTATCCTTTTTTTTTTCTTTTTTTTTTTGAGACGGAGCCTCAAGCTATCCCCCTGGGTAGAGTGCCATGGCCTCACAGCTCACAGCAACCTCCAACTTCTGGGCTCAAGCAAGTCTCCTGCCTCCGCCTCCCAAGTAGCTGGGACTACAGGCACCTGCCACAACACCTGGCCATTTTTTGGTTGCAGCCATCATTGTTGTTTGGCGGGCCCGGGCTGGGGATTCGAACCCGCCACCTTAGGTGTATGTGGCTGGCGCCTTAGCTGCTTGAGCCACAGGTGCCGAGCCGACATTTTCTATCCTTTAACCAACATCTCCAATATCCCTCTCTCCCAGCCTCTGGTAACTACCATCGCACTCTGTTTCTGTGACTTTGGAAATTTTTACACACCATGCATAAGTGGGATCACGCGATATTTGTCTTTCTGTTCCTGGTTTTAACATAACGTCCTCCGAGTTCATTCATGTTGTCACAAACTTGAGTTTATCAGGCAGTTCATGTGTTTGTTTGGGGTTAACTACTGGGAGCTTATTGGGTTGTTTTGGTGACATGTCGTCTTGGTTTTCATGTCTCTTGTTAATCGATGTCTGAGCATTTGGTGGCGCAGTCATGTTTTCCAAACCTTTTGGGCTAGTTTTCCTGTGGGGAGACCTTAGACTTCCTCTCTAGGGAGTACATGGCCACTTGCTGGGTGGAGTACAGCAGTTCTGGCGCCAGTGAGGGTGCCAGCTGTGTGGTCCTTGTGCACTTCCATCAGCAGAGGTTGGTGTTGAGGAAGATTGGAGGGATCCTAAGCCTGCGCTGTGGATGCTCACAGTGGTGGGAAGGGTTGTTGGGATCTTTAGTCAGAGGCAGTAGCTGCTGAGGTCCCCCTAATCTCTCTTGCTCCCACTGGGGCAGTTCTGGTTGAGGGGATTCATCTTGGCAGTAGGTCTGCCTTGTGGGCTCTTTTGCAATAGTGGTGGCTGCAGTATTTGGTGCCTGAGGAGCAGCCACAAAGCACATGTGGACAGGCTGTAGCTCTGTGATCTGTGCAATAATGGCACTGGTGCCCAGGGCATAGGTACCCCTCCAGCAGTAACAGAATATAAGGCACAGATGCTTGTGGAGAGGCTGGGAGAGAGGAGAATGGAAGCAAAGACACGCACAGTGTTAGGACAGCTCTGGGATCAGGATGGGGCCTACTTATCTATGGTGATGGAGACGGTATTTGGGGCATAGGGACCCTCATAGCCATGTAGGTATAGATGCTTGGTATATAGCCAGGGAGCCAAAAATGGTAACATAGGTTTGAGCAGAGTTAGGTGGCTCTGAGGTAGGGATAGAGTCTAGTCTTCTATGGTGGCTAAGCTGGTGCCTAGAGTACAGGCACATGCAGCCAGGGCCCCAGTGCCAACTAGCCTGCCATTGCCAGGACTTCACTGTCTGGGACATGGGCAGGCCCAGTGCAGCCACAGAGCCTGGGACTAGAGCGTGTGCTCTGTGGCATGGCCATGGTACCAAGGTTAGGGCATGCACAAGGTTAGGAGAGGTAGTGGCTCCTTTCCAGATAGTGGCTCTGCTTCTGGAGGTGTGGGTGTTAGGGGTGTGCAACTGTGTTTCCCTTTCTAGGGCTCCCTGGTAGGGATGGCTGTTACTTTATTGGCAAAGAGACACCAGTGTCCTCTAAAGAACAAGCCACTGGTTACCACAATAGTTTTACCTTGTGGCTGATTCTCTACCTTGCTGCTTTTTTCCTAGTCATCTCCTGATGTTTTAAGTATGCCAGTCACATTACCAATTCTTTCTATTAGGATCGTCTCCGTTTTGGTACTGTACTGTATTGCCACAGATTCTTTAATGCATGCTTACACTCTCTCTGGGCTATTTTGGGAAGTCTATATTTGTTTTTGTGGGAGGATTCTGCCCACTAGGTGATGACACAGTAGACCTATATTTCAATGGGTCTTCATTTCTGCTTCCCTTCAGTTGATTAAATACTATGCAAGATCCCTTGCCTTAGCTCTGTATCTCTGCTCAAATATGCTGTTATGAATAAAGTACATTGGGATGAATTCAGTTACTTAGTCGTCGCTTCTGAATACATAAGTTTAAGATGACTGAAATGTGGAACTTTATGCAGCATGTTGAACTATAGCAGGTCCTCAGTCGGTGTTTCAAAACCACGAATTTAAGCAAAATGCCATAAGATAATTGATATAAGCAAGAGTTCCGTTCCTATAGCATAAATGAGTTTCATTTAAAGTTGCGGTTTCTAAGAACTTATCAACAGTAAGTAAGGACTTACTATTTTTAACATTATAACACAATTAAAAGGAATTCCAATACTAAGCCCTTGGTTCCTATTGGAACAGCACCAGAGGTACAGAGGTCACTATGAAAGTTTTGAGATAGACTCTGTTATGATCCATTATTTCACTTTCAGAAACACAGTGGACAGTGCCCTTTCTGATTGACCTCTGCAAGTTTCAGCTTGCTCACCTTAGTGGGACTGCTGGGAGGGTTTTATCTGTTTCCGTCCATGTGGATTGTAGTTTTCTTGATTTTTGTGTATCTCAAAACTTTAGTAATGACCCACATATACTGCCCTTTTCTTAGCATGTAGTAGAAAAGCACTACATGCTTAGTACTGACAAGTCAGGGGGGATAACTGACGGCATTTTTCTTCAAAGCATAATGAAGACATCTGGCAAGACATTTATTCACTTAGAATATGATCTCGGTGCAACGTGTGCCTACAGTATACATGGTAAACTCACAACTGCTCAGAACTAAAACTTTTTACAATGTGCAATACAGGTAGGGGTGTTAATTCAATATAAATGTCACATGTCTCCCAAATATCACCCAGGCTATTTTTATTATTAAAATATGCAAGTCAATATTACCACCAGACAAACTAAAAGTCAATCCCATTATCTAATCCATTAAACTTATGGTTATACTTCTGTGAAGACAAACTTCTAAAGAATGAGATTTATGTCTGGTTTTAGAGATTAGCATTCTGGATTGACTTGTAGACTTAGAAACACAAGACAAAGTTGTCACATGACTGAAATTGGACTGGCTTCTTCAGGTGGAGGAGAATGGAGAGAATGAGGAAATTTCCTGTTGCTTGGATTTTTCAGTTTCTGAAATATTAACCTGTGTCCTGCTGGAATTCAGACATTTCCCTCACCTGTGCTACCGTCAGGGTCTTTGTTAGGTTTATTCACAACATTTTACTTCTACACAGCAAAACATAACAAGGTAAATATCCAAAAATACGTAGGACAGTTATGAGTTATGCATTACAGTCATTGTATTCATACCTTTCCTATGAAGTCCACATTTTAGAAAAATATATTATTGCATATGAAACCACAAACAGGCATTCTGATTTCAGCACATTCTTACTCAAAACAGTATATACAGTCCTCCTAGAGTCAGAGCATACTATAGATCCACACACGGGACAGGGGGGTTGGAGGTCCCAGATATACAGCAATATATACACAATTCCTCATCACATCTCTCGGCAGAGGCTTGTTTTCTCAGTAGGTATCACGCACGGGTCTCTCATGCTGGTGAAGGGGGACAGGGGCATGTAGATGAGGCTTTTCTGTCCTAGGCCGCTTCTTCAGCTGAGCAGTCAATTCCTGCATAGGTGAACTTCTCATAAAGCGTGGTATTCACATAGGTCTGGAAGAGTGAGAATGGTTCAGAGATACAGGCTACCTTGGTTCCCCCTCTGCCAGGGGCAGTCACAGCATTGCCCTAGTTTCCCTAGTTTATTTCACTTCAAATGTTAAGCACCGGGGACACTTTTCTGTCCCCAATCCCTCTGTTGTATTGATGACTTTCCTTCTGAAACACATCTCTTACCTTTGGCAAGTAATGTTCCCTTTCCTCGGCCTCTGGGCCTCTCTTTCTCGTGATCGCTCACTGCGCCTCAGATGCTCAGGTTCCCTGCGACCCCTTCCTCTGTCCTCATCTCAGCTTCGTATGTCCCTGTGTGATCTCCCCCACATCACCGGTCAAATGACCACTGAGGTTTCAGTGACATTCCAAATCTATTTCTTAAACCTAGATCTCCTTGCCTTTTGAACTCCAGATCAGGATAGCCAACGAAATTTTTATAGAATCCTTAATTTTCTGCTGTTTTATCAACTGCCCTCGGCATCTCGGGAATTCTAATTAAAGAGCTCCCGCTCTGAACTCTTTCAACCCATGTGTGCTCATACTCACCTTTCGTTCTTCCAACATTCTGTTTAAGGACACCAGTATCTGGGCAAATGACGGCCTCTCATAAGGCTTCTCGCGCCAGCATTGTCTCATTAGATCATACCTTCAAAAACGAGAGTTAAAGGGTCAACTCTATGACTGTGCTTCATCCTGAGCATGGCCCAGGGGAGGAAAAAAGAAAAGAGAATGGGGCTCAACCAGCAGAAGACAAAAGCCTGGCACCTAGGACCTTCAGCCGCCTACTACCCTAGCCAAGGCTTGTTTCTTCTCCCCATGGACAGAAAGCCTGCCCTGGGTCAGTTGCTGCTGGACCTTGGGCTCCACTATTCTGCCTATCCAGAAAGAACTGGATTATGTGTCTAGGGCAGGATTTCCCTTGGAATACTGCATCTCTCAAAATGTTAAAAGAAAAGGCTCTCTGCTCAAATAAACATGTAGGATGCCACCTATTGCATGCCACTTGGACTCTAAGAAGTTCAGTCATTAAAAACAAAACAATCCTGTTCAACCAGTTCCTGAAAACTGTGTGTCACCCAAAAGTCATGTGTTGAAACCCAACCTCCAATGTGGTGGTATTTGAAGGGGGTCCTTTGGGAAGTGATTTGGACTCTTGTCCTCATGAGTGGGATTCATGCCTTTACAGAAGAGTCCACAGAGAGTTCTTCTGCCCCTTCTGTGCAGACACAGCAAAATATGGCCACCAGGGAACGGTTCAGAGGCACCAGCCACTGAATCTGTCAACGCCTTAATCTTGGACTTCGCAGCCTTCAGAACTGTGAGAAATACCATTTCTGCTGTTTATAAGCTACCCAGTTTATGGTATTTTGTTAAAGTATCCTGAAATGACTAAGACACCAGGGTTTAACACAAAGCTTGCAAACTCAATTAACTGCAGAACTCCTTTCCCTTTGTGATATTTATATCTTGCAAGACACTGATGAACATAATTTGGGAAACTCTGGTCTCAGGCAGTGCTTTCTCAAATGTGGTCAGAACTACTTGTGTTATTAAAATGGACATTTCTGGGACCTTCCCTAGACCTAGGGAATAAATGGCTGGGATTCCACATACTGAACAAATCCCTCAGGGGAACCTTATCTATACATAAGGCAGGTACAGAGGCTGTCAACCATCCACCTGGGGTGTCATAGATTCTAGAGTGGCTTATACTTTAACAGAAATTTCTTAAGAGACTGGAAAATTGCTCACCCCTTTTGGAATGAATCTCAAAAGGTAGCATTTTAGGGACTTTATCTGAGATGGTTCAAGTATGTCTCGTTTGTCCAGATAATCCATGTTTATGCTTCTTGTTCCAGTGACATTATTCTTGAACTCCTGGCCTCAGGCAATCCTCCAGCCTCAGTCTCCCTAAATGCTAGGATTATAGGTGTGAACCACCATGTCTGGCCTGGTTACTTTAGTAATAGTACCTTCTTTCACTCTTAGAAGTGACCCCATTTGGACAATAAATTATTTTTTCAACTTAGAGCCATGCACTCTCCAAATAATGTGAGTTAGGCAGCTGCCACTTCTGCTAATTCTAGGAATGGTGGTATCACTACAGTAAATCATTATTCTCCTTGGAATAATTTACTCTGGAAATATAATCTTAGCAGAAGCAAGATTCCATAGAGAAAAATCTATTTTCCTTAGTGAACAGCTATGAAATCTCTAGCCCCAAAGTTAGTCTCAAAGTTTCATACATTTATTTATGAGCAATTTCATGAATTTATTTCAGATTTTTTCTGCTTTCCTTGCCCTTTCTCATTTCAATGTTCCCAAGAGTCATTACTTCAAATTCCTTCTAGATTTATTATTTTTATTTCAAAATCTTAAGGGGTTATAAATGTTTTTTAAATAGCTACCTTTTATGATGCTTAACTCAGGGCCTTCAGTGTGCCCACCACCCAAGTAGTGTTCATTGTACCAGATAAGTAGGGTTTTATCCCCCACTTCTATTTTCAATGAAGTTTACATCTCTCTGTGTCCATTTGTGCCCGTCAATTAGTCACCAATTGTTAGGAATACATGTGGTATTTATTTTTCCATTTCTGAGATATTTCACTTTGGATAATGGTCTCCAATTCCACAAAAAATCATTACTTCATTTCCTTTTATGACTTTACACCACTTTTTGTAAAGTCACTTATGAGTTGACAGACACTTAGGTTGATTCCAAGTCTTTGTAGTTGTGAACTAAGCAGCAACAAAATTCATTTGCTGGTATCTTCTTGATACAATGAATTATTCTTTGGGGGGGGGAGTATATACCCAGTAGTGAGATTGCTGGGTTGGATGGTTTAAGTCTACATTTATTTCTTGGAGGAATCTCCATATTGTTTTCCATACAGGTCATGCTAATTTGCAGTCCCACTCATAGCATATACACATTCCTTTCTCTTGTATCTATGCCAGCATCTGTTTTTTGACTTTTTAATAATGGCCATTCTGAATGGGGTAAGATTATATCTCATTGTGGTTTTAACTTGCATTTCCCTGAGAAGTGATGGTGAGTATTTCCTCATTTTTTGGAGGCCATTTGTCTATCTTCCTTTGAAAAACTTCTCTTCGTGTATTTTTTTTTTTTTTTTAGAGAGTCTCACTTTATTGCCCTTGGTAGAGTCCTGTGGTGTCACAGCTCACAACAACCTCCAACTCCGGGGCTTAGGCCATTCTCTTGCCTCAGCCTCCCGAGTAGCTGGGACTACAGGCGCCCTCCAGAATGCCCGGCTATTTTTTTGTTGCAGTTTGAATGGGGCCGGGTTCAAACCCACCACTCTCGGTATCTGGGGCCGGCGCCCTATGCATTGAGCCACAGGTGCCGCCCCTCTTCTTGTATTTTGGCCAGTTTTTAATGAGGTTGATTTTCCTTGTTGATTTGTTTGATTTCTTTGTAGATTCTGGATATTAGCCCTTTATCAGAGTACAATTTGTGAATATTTTCTCCCATTCTGGAGGCTATATATTTACTCTGATTAAAAGGCTTGTGCACAGCAAAGGAAATATTCAAGTCACATTTATTTTGTTATTGCTATATTTGCCTTCGTCATGTTAGTGATACATTCTCTGCCTAGACCAATGCTCAAAAGAGTTTTTCCTACATTTTCTTCTAGAATGTTTATGGTTTAATGCCTTACAGTTAAGTCTTTGTCCATCTGGAGTTAGTTTTTGTATATGACAGGATAGAGGGATCTTGTTTCATTCATTCTTCTGCATGCAGCTATTCCGTTTTCCTGGCACTATTCACAGAACAGGGATCCCTTTCCCCAGTGCATGTTGTTGTCCGCTTTGTCAAAGATCAGTTGGTTGTAGCTAAATGGTTTTATATCTGAGTTCTCTGTTCTTTTCCATTGGTCCGTGTCTCTACTTTTATATAGTGCTATGCTGTTTGGGTCACGATAGCCTGCTTCTTAAAGTCTGGAACATGAGGCCTCCAGATTTGTTCTTTTTCCTTAGGATTGCTTTGGCTATTTGGGCTCTGTTTTTGGTCCCAAATTAAACATACAATTATTTCTTCTGTGAAACACGGCCTTGGTATTTTGATGAGGATAATGCGGAATCTCTAAATCACTTTGGAGAGGACGGACATTCTAACAGTGTTGATTCTCCCTATCCGGGAGCCTGGGAAGTTGTTCTGCTTGTTCGTGTCCCTTCTCTCCTCAGTGTTTCATTGCTCTCTTTAGAGTTCTTTCCCCTCCTTGGTTAAGTATGTTCCTAAGTATTTTATTTTCTTTGTAGCTGTTGTGTGCGATATTGAGTGCTTGATTCGAGGGTTCAGCTTGGCTGTTATTAGTATATAGAAATGCTACTGATTTGTGTACACTGATTTTGTAACCTGAGACACTGCTAAATTTATTTATCAATTCCGGGAGTCTTTTAGAGCAGTTTTTGAGATTTTCTAGATACAAGATTATGTCATCAGAGACAGTAATTTGGCCTCCTCTTTCCTGATTTGGTTACCCTTTATTTCTTCATTTAGCCCAATTGCTCTGGCTAGGACTTCTAGTACTATGTTGAATAAAAGAGGTGACAGGGGACACTTGTCTTGTTCCAGTTCTTTGGGGGAATTCTTTCACCTTCTCCCCTTTCAGTATGATGCTGGCTGTGGGTCTGTCATTTTTCTCATGAATACTCTTCTCCCAGCTCAGAGCTGAGAGGTTTGCAGGGCACCTGTTCTCCTATTCTAGAAGACTGACCTGGCAGGGCAGGGGTGGGCACACTGAGAGCCTCTGGTGCAGCTGTTCTGTTTTGTCCCATTGCCCTGTGATTGTTACAGTTTAGGCCAGTGCTGGATGATCCTCATGCAGAGTGACTGACTATCCCCCAGACCATTGCTGAAAGCTCGAGTGGGGCACTGGGTGAAACCCTCTCCTGGGAGGCTGGTATTTCAGGGAATTGCTCTGCCTGAGCTCTCCCCATGGTGGGGGAACAGTGGAAGCTGAGTGAAGATATCTAAGCCATAGTGGTGAGTGTTTGGCTAGGCTGTGGGCATTTTCTTGAACCAGATTCAGGTGCAGTGGTGGCATGAGGCTAGACGGTCCCTTGGCAGAGCATTGGACTATAGGGCAGTTCCACAGGCTCAGAGGGCAATGCTGGTGCATTCTGGGCATGGTTACAGTCCTGGCATCTGTTGTGAAGCCTCAGTGGCAGAGGCTGGGGACCTGATAGCAGCACTGGAGCCCCAGAGCCAGACCTGTGGCCTGAACATAGGGCAGGAGCCATGCGGTGGGGCCCGAGGATTGAACAGTAACACAGGAACCATGGAGGTAGAGCTTCACGAGGTGGGCAGTAGCAGAATATGGGGCTGTGGGTCAGGGTTTTCCCCAAACTCAGGCCCACATAGGCACTGAAAAGCTGTCCAAGTGGTGTCTGAGTTGCCTATCCCACTCAAATCCCCCACTGGGGAGTGGCGTGCTCAGTCCCAGTCACAGGGCACAGCCTGGAAGACCATGTGCTCTGCCTGCTGCTTCCCCAACCCAGCAGGGGTGATGGAAGGCAGCTGTTGAAGAGCCAAGCTGCATAAGGACCCTGAGCCCTGTATCTGCAAGCTCAGAAGGGTGTCAGTTGCAAAAACCTGGGATCAGTAGGCAGCAGACCCCTGCTGCACACTCTTCAGTACAGCAGTGCTGCATAGGCTGTAAGCAGCTCCCTGATTCTACCAGAGGCCTGGGGTGGCATTAGGGACCCCTCACAGGTCAGACCCCAGTGTCCATAGGATGAGCACGGAGCCTCCCCCTGTTCCCTTCTGCTTTTGCCTAATGAATTGCCGCATCACCTTCTTATTCCCTTAGAACGTCCCCCCTCCCTTCTCTGGTGTTTTCTGGTGCTCTTTCCAAGGGGAGCCATCTGTGGTAGGCAACCACCTGCAACTTCCGATGCTCTCCTTGAGAGCAGCCTGCCCAGGCTGCTTCCAGTCTGCCATCTTGCCCCTTCCAGATTCTAGTCCTTGCCTGTTACATAATGGTCCAGTAGTAGAACTCCTCCCCCCAATTTCTTCAACAATTTGGTATCTGTGTGTGTTTATGTATATAATGGTGACTTCTTAGAGTCAGCCTGTCCAAGAAATGCACAGCGGAAGGATAAGACCAAGTGGCCCCAGGGTGAGGCCTGACTTACACCTCGTCATCACAGTTCAGGGGCTTCTCCAGTCTGTAACCCTGGGGCAGCTTCTCGTAGAGCTCTGCACAGGTCATCCCGCAGTAGGGGGTGCCTCCTGGAAGATGGAGAACGGTGCACTGTCAGTCCTCTCTGCCACTAAAGCCAGTGCTCCTGCCCAGGGGCTCTAAAAATCAGGAGGCTGGGAGGAATCAGGGCACATGGAGGAAGCAGGACACCCAGCATGTCCTGCCTTGCCTAGAGTCCCGCCTGGCAGATAAACATAGACACTCACCTAAGCTGACAATCTCCCACAGTAACACACCATAGGACCACCTGCAGGAGGGACAAATGTTAAACCACTAATCAGCAAATAGGTTGACCCCTTAATTTTTTTGCCCAAAAAGCCAGAATGACCATCTCTTTCTAAGAAAAGGAAATGTTAAATGTCCACTTCTTAGAATAAAGCCTTGTACACAGTGTAATTTCCTCTCCATTTGGTGTAGCCCAGTGGAAGGGTTACACCAAAGAATCAGTGTTCACTTTGCCAGAGCCCCCAAATCACTGTAAGTAGAAATAGCAAGGTGGGACCATAGAAAATTGATGAAATTGTAAGCCAAACAGATTTCAATTAAATCATGTCTCTACCACCTAACACTTGTGTGACCCTGGAAAAGTCACTGAACCTTTTAGAACCTCTTAGTGTAATTCTTGCCAATTCCTGCCTCAAAGTTATGCGAAGTGACATCTAAAAGGCACCCTGTGGTGAGGACACCGGCAGTTCTCTAGGCATAAGCAGAACCCCTTGGACAAGTCACTCCTACTCTCTGGGCCTCAGTTTTTCCTCCTGAAAATGGGGTACAAGGCAAGATGGCCTCTCAGGCCCTTCCTTCCACCCTTCCCTGTAACTATCACTGCAGGTTGCATGCAGAAATGGCCCCCACTGCCTGGACCGAGTTTTGTCCCCACACCTCTGGCCCCCAGAAGCTGCCTCTGAGCTAGGTAAGGAGTGGAGCCACAGAAAGGCCAGTTGCCCCTCCTTGCTCTCAAGGTCCAAAATTCTCAATTTGAAGCCTCTCTACGACATGGAGAAACTCAAAACCCGCCACCAGCAACTTTACCCATTGGAAACTGTCAATTCTGTGGCTTCATTCATCCTATGGATTTATTTCCTGGGCTTATGGGTTAGCTTTGTCCCACAGAGGTACAGGCTACTTTTGATTATGTTAAACAAAACCTTTATCAAATGTATAATTTTTCTGGGGGAGAAAACTCTCTTAGCAATAAGCTCACTCACACATCACTGTTGGTTGTGTACACGCTGTAATTGAGGGACTCGATCGCCATCCAGCGCACTGGCAGCCTTCCCTGGAGAGATCAAAGTGAGAAGCCACTTAGGTAGGGCAGGGGCTCTTCCCAGGTTCTCAGTGTGCCAGAAGCTGTGGCTCCACCAGGGCCCCTGACTCCATTTGGAATTCCACAGACATAAGGTGGGCTAGGGAATTGTTGCTTTGTGTATGCAACCAGCTAAACCATTAACATGATTTGTCTTTATTAAGGTCATTTATATTTCCTAATTGTACTGTAAGACCAAAACTATGTCTTTTGTTTATGCCATTTCCCCATATTGTCTATGCTACTTCCCCCGGACAACCCTGTACAGATAGTATAAAATAAAACTGATTTTGTGCTTTCGTGCTGGCTGCAGCCATCAGCTCAGTCAGACCTCCCGATCCCATCCTCTGTTTCTGTTTCTTATGCTGTATTTTTCTCAGACCCCACCAATTCTACTCTGTTCGCTCCCCTTTCCCACGCTGGTTCACAACAAATGGTAATTCTGTAGTTTCCTTCTCACACTTACATCTTCAATATTCTCCTCCACTTCCACACTCTCTCCGTCTCTCCATCCCACCTCCCACTTGTCATTCCAGCTCTCTCCTCCCTTCCCAACAAAGGAATGGAAAGCATTATCTGTTTCGTTTTTGTTCTCATCCACTCCCAGCCTGCTGGCTTCTCACCTCCTGATTACTAAGTTCAATGTCTACTTTTTCATTTTTTTCTCATTTGGCTTCTTTTGGAAGTCTGTCTACTTCATCTGTCTCCACTACATCACCTAGGTTCAGGGCGCTGCCTGATGGTAACACCCCCTTTCCTGATCTCGCTCCTAATGCTCTCTTCTCACCAGAGTCAGGACAAAAATCAGTCAAAATGGCAAATCTGACTATATCATTGCTTTCTTTAAAATTCTTTAATGTCCCTATTATCCCAACATCTCAAATCTTTAACTAAGTCCTAAAATTCTTAGCTGGAATCCAAGACTTTATCCCTGCTTCTTCCCCCAACTTCGAATTTTAACTATCTCCTCTCTACATTACATAACTGACTTAAAGATCCTCCAAAGGTTTCACGCTTTCCCTTTTCTGTGGGCTTTTATATCTAGTCATTCTCACACCTCCAGTATCCAACATTTACTGTGACTTCCTCCAGGAAGCCCCCCACGACTGCCTTCTCTGCTGCCACCATCCCTGTGCTTTCCTTTCCCTTAGCACTTAGCAGTTGTTACAATTGTTATGTGTCTGTCTGGGAGCTCTTTGAAGGTGTAGGCTATGTCTGACTTTCCTTAACCCAAAACCTGGCACAAACATGAAACATGATGATAAGGGAATGGATATATTAATTGATGGCAAATTAGTACATTAGTTTTCAGCAACACGTCCCGTATTAGAATCATCTTTAAGGGGACCCAAAACAAATCTAATGAAGGAGCCCACGCTATACTAATAGAATCTAGGCAGGACTCGGTGTCTGCATCTTGTAAAGCTCCCCAGATGACCCAGGTACTGTGACTTGGAGACCTGACTTAAAAATTGGTGGCCAAAGAAAGCAGCCACTCTGCCCTCTAGTGGTGCCTTGCTGCATTGCCCCCTTCTCACCCAAAGCTTGCTTCTCTCCAAACGTGGCTTACTTTCCTCACCCTTCCCTCAGCCCCATGCTAATGAACACTTTACCCTATTTACTCTATTGTGAAATAAGAGTTGACCCCTGATCAGCGCTCTGCCCCATAAGTATTCCTCCTAAACTTCCCATTACTACAGAAACTCCTGTCCTTGATGAAAAGCTAGGCAAACCATCATCGGTACACACATAAAATGGGCAGGTCCTGGGGCTGACCTATGTTAACCCCTCCCCACCTCGTGTGGGGTACCACATCCCCCAAATGCTGGGGTGAAGCAGGGAAATGATTCTGTCAAGGCAATATGAGGATGTGGGTGGCCAGGTGGGATGTGGGGAGCTGAGAGCTGGAGGGGCTGCTGAGTGATGGATTCTGCTTTTCTAAGACACAGCCCTGCCCTGCCCAGAGAAGCATCTGCCTAGCTTGGGGAAAGAGGCAGGCCCCGGAGGTCAGCCCTCCAGGAGGCACCCAGGGCATCTGAAAGCTGACCTTGGTAAACAGCCTGGGGGTGTGGGGCTGAGAACCACATCAAACCCTCACCACAAAGGAGTGGTTATGTCCACTGTGATGGGAACTATGTCAAACGCGTGTCCTGTGGGGGCAATGAGCCAAAAACGAAAAAACAAAGTTCCAAGGTGGTGAATTATGAGTGATTTCCTTTTCAAGATGTTCTTGAGTTTGGTTTCCGTTTTATCTTGTCAGTAAGTAATATAAAGTCTGACGAAAGGAAGCCTGGATTTGAGGATAAATGCAGGAACCTGAGCCTTGCTAAGAGGCAATTTGGAGCACCCACAAGAACAATAAGACCTTCTGTGATACACGTGAAGCAGTGCCAAAATAGCCGAGCTCAAGACATGGTCCTTGGCCCCAACACAGGGAGACCCATCTCCTCAGAGCGGCCCTGCCTGACACAGGCAAAGACTGTAGCGTTTGTCACCCACGGCTCCACGTTCCACCCACACGAGGAAAACGGGGTGGTGCCGTAGTCAGCAGTCTTCGCTAGCAATCTGGACCCTCCGATCATTTTAGGTACCAACAGAGCACTTCCTGGTCCAGGCAGCATCTGCTGGGAGCCCAGCTCAGTTGCCCCAGTCACCACACAGCAATGGTGTTCTACGAGAAGCGACTTGGGGAGAGTGAGGAACGCTTTGGAAAGGGGGCTATCAGTGTCCGCGGGTCTGAACTTACCATTGTCTTTTTCACATATACTTCTTGACCTCGGGACAATCCAAAATCTGCTATTTTAGCTACGTAGTTTTCACCAACTAAAATGTTTCTGGCAGCCAGGTCTCTGTGGATAAACTGAAATTTAAAAATAAAATGTATTTTTAGCATAGTACTTGCCTTTTCACTTTGTTTTGTTAACATAAACCTAGGGGCAAAAACTTTAAGAGAATAGAGAAGAAACAACTGTAGGAAGGGGGTTTTTAAAAGTCACAAAGTTCCCCAAAAGTTTCTCTCTAAAATTTTTAGTTGGTAGAATCTGCCAAAAGTCCCCACCACATCTTAGGAGAAGCATTTCAGGAAAAAAACCAATCCCCATAGGTCATTAAGTCTTTGGTGGCAATGTGAGGCCTCTGCCACTGTGTGTTATTTGGAAGCAAACCAAGCTAAGACAGCTTTAGGCATTTCACCAAATAGGTCTTATGAAATTTGCTAGCTACATGTATTGTCAGTGTCGGGCATTAATTTTTATATAGGTAGAATATTAATGATTATAATGGAATAGATTGTGAGTAGGAATTGAAGACTGGAGCTAGACAGATGAACCATGCATCTAGGGAAGCCCTGACTTCTGAGACAACTCCAGAGGAGAGGTGTCCAGAGA